GGTCGGGCTCTGCTGCCAGGGAACAGGGACAGGAGGAGAGGGAACGGCCTCAGGCTGGGCCAGGGGAGGCTCAGGGGGGACAGCAGCAGGAATTTGCCCATGGAAAGGGCGCTCAGGCCTTGGAAGTGCCCAGGGAGGTTTGCAGTGCCCATCCCTGGAGGTGTCCCAGGAATTGCTGGAGGTGGCACTCGGAGCTCTGGGCTGGGGACAGGGTGGACATTGGGCACATTCAGCTCAATGATCCTGGAGAGATTTTCCAATCTCAGTGATTCTGTGAGGTTTAAATTGAATGTTTGGGAAAATTTCCTTCCCTAAAAGGGGTGTCCAGCCCTGGCACAGGTACAGGGTGGGGTCCCCATCCCTGGAGGGATTCCAAATCCATGTCGATGTGGCACCTGGGGGCACAAGACAGTGGTGGCCTTGGCAGTGCCATGTTGGACCTCATGATCTTGGAGGATTTTTCCAACCTTCATGATTCCATGAAATTGCGAGGGGCAGGAATTTCCTGCAAACCAAACTGGGGTTTTTGAAGCAGGGATTGGCTGGTTTATTTTCATTTTTTTGGTTGGTTTGGGGTTTAGAAAATAAATTTCCTTTATTTATGACACTTCCCAGCCCCAGATCTTCGTGTCAGCCCCAAAATCACTCCCCTAACGACAGTGACAGGTAATGGAGTCAAGACTTTTTTATTGCTGAAAGATTAGAGAAGAAACATTTCCTCAGCTGAGCTGTTGTCATCTCTGACAGCGTTTTGGGAACGCTCTGTGAAGCTGCTTCCCCATTTTTTCCAAGGTTTTTCCAGGGGAGTAAAATGAGTGGAGATGGGGAGAAGGAAAAGCAGAAACAACACCTGAAATTGTTGTTTTAAGAGAGGAAAAAAAGCCTCAATTTGAGCTGCCTGGGTTTCACCACAGCTTTGTCACTTTGAACCACGATTCTGCTCCAAGGAGTGTATTTCAGGTGGGAAAAAATTCCTGTTTAAGGCATTTTCCCCTCTCTGTTTAGACTCCAGTGTTTGAATTTAATGACACAAACACATTTTGATGCCTTTTTGCTCTTCAGGGAAAAAAAAATATTTCTGTGGGAGCAGGGAGCTGCTGGCTCCTGATTTCCCAGTCCCGTTTGGGATAGCAGGGAGCAGCTCCGAAGATCTCCATCCTCCAAACATCCCATTCCCAAAGAGGGTGAAGGCATCGCCTCTGGGCTGGGGTAACAGCTTGGGGTAAACTGGGATCTCAGAGGTTGTCCAGGGAGGCAAATTCCTGGGAAAACTTGGAATAAGAAATGAGTTTTAGGGAAAACTTGGGATTTGCACCTTTGGACACTGAGGGTGGTGCATTGGTGGCAGTTGGGTGGTGGAAATCCCAAACCTGGGGATGGTTTTCATGGAGCTGATCCTTGTGGTGAGGAGGAGATTTCCCATCCCTGGGTCTGTCCTGAAACTTCCAGCATTTCCCAAAAAGTCCTTTGGAAGTGCTGACTCTGATTTAATGGAGCCTCATGGGTGGAAGATGTTTCACATAAACATTTGGGGCTGAGCAAACGGGAAGTGATTCCTGATCCATTTTGTCACTTCCTTAACTTTGCCTTTTATGTTGGGAGTTGATCCACGATCGATTTCCGCTCCCTCCCAGGTGTTTCAAAGCTGTTGATGGTTATTCCCTGTTTTTTCCTTGGATATTCTGCCGTTGCTGAGCTTATCCCTTGCTTTCCTGAGGAAATTTTTCGTTATTTTAATGAGCTCTTCGGTTTTTCTCCAGAACATTCCAAATCTTCCTGAGGTTACACCCCTCAGAGAGGGGCCCTTTCCTTGGAATTTAATCCAAGGGAATTATAGAAGATATCCATGAAGGGAATGGGAATTTCCTGCCTGGATTATTTTCTGGTTTATGGAACAAAAACGAATTTTTTCGTTCACTGGGAACTCAGAGCAGTGGTGGGACTGGCACGGAGCACTGGGATCACCTCCCCGTTCCCAGTGCTTTCCATGGAATCCTGGAATGGCTTGGAAGGGATGTTAAAAACCATCCCAATCCCACCCTGCCATGGCAGGGACACCTCCCACTGTCCCAGGCTGCTCCAGCCCCGATGTCCAGCCTGGCCTTGGGCACTGCCAGGGATCCAGGGGCAGCCACAGCAAATCTGGGAATTCCAGCCCAGCCTCTCCCCACCCTCCCAGCCAGGAATTCCTTCCCAATATCCCATCCAAATCTCCCCTTTTCCAACTAAAGCCATTCCCTGTGTCCTGTCCCTCCATCCCTTGTCCCCAGTCCCTCTCCAGCTCTCCTGGAGACTCTTCAGGCCCTAGAGCCCTCCCTTCTCCAGCTGAACATTCCCAATTATCTTGTTTCCATAGGAGAGGTGGAATTTTGAGCAATTTTGGCTCCTAGAAGGTAACTCCTGCACAGAATTCCTGGAATTACCTCATCCTTGGATCCAATTCCCTTCTTTCCAGCTCTCCTAGTGCCCATCCTTCCTGGTTTTCAGCTCTTCCATGTGGAACAGCTCCTAAATCTTGTGGTTTTAATTAAACCCAAGACGGTTTTTCCCCCGAAAATGTGAGGATTTGCTCAATTCCTGAACCTGGATGGCAACAGCAGCGACTTCTTCTGTGTCTGGGAAAAAAATAAAAATAAAAAAAATAGGATTTAGACGGGTCCACAAGGGAAATAAGAGTCTGGATTACGATTTTATGGAGTTCTCATCCCCAGGCTTGATTTTTGCCGGTTTAGAACTTCAAAATGACAAATTTTGCTGTATTTATTTGCCTTTAAAGAATTCCAGGGAATGAATTCCTAGGCATTGAAGTTATGAGGATGTGTTTGTGATTCCAGGGGTTTGATGTGGAATTCCAGCATCGGAAAGCCTCCATAAAAAGGAATAATTAAGAATTCCAATTTTTCTGCTTCTTTCTGCCCTTAAATTAGGGCTTTATTATGAAGGTGAATTTTAAAAATTAATTAAGGTTGCTGAATAAAAAAAATGCAGGGAGAATGAAAAAAAAAATCCCAAATTTGGAGCTGTTTGGATAATTTCCTCAAATTCCCTGGATAATTTAGCTGGGGGTCAGTCCAGAACTTCCCACCAGGAATGTTCAAATAATCCTGGAAAAAACTCAGTGAAGTTCCTGACCTCAGCTCTCGGTTAATGCTGAAAAAGGCATTTTCCAGCCGTGCAGGATGGAAAATCCATCGTTCTTCAGTGGGATATTGATTGGAAAAATGTTTATGGATTATTCAGGATTAAAGTGTTAAGTTTTTGGGAGGAGGGAAACATCTGAACGTCCTAAGGAACAACATTGGGATCAAAGTAATCCAAATTAATCGAAGATTGATTGTTGCAATCAATCATTGGCCAGGTTATTCTGAGGTTTTTTGGGAAAGAATTTGTGGGTGTTTCCCTAAATCCTGCTTTTCCATAAAAAAACCCCAAAAAACCAAAAACAACAACAACAACAAAAACCAAAAAGACTGATCCAGCTGAATGGAATAAAGGAATCTTATCAATTTTTTATTTTTAACCAAAGTTTTACCTATTTACCTAAGATTGAAATATTTTTTTCCCCAGCATCCACTCATTAAAACCCTTTTAAATTATTCAACATTTCCTTAAAATCTCTTTATCTTTTCCAGTAATATTTAGACTTCCAGCCTTGAAGTGCTAGGAAAGTTTTGTCTGCAGTTCCCAAGCCAAATCCTGAGTTTTTGGGATTCAGACTTCTTGGATGTCTCCCTGATTTTCCAGAGTTTGGATGCCAATGTGTAAAATCTGAGTTCAGAGGTGAAGGAATGGATTTTTCAACTGATTTTATTTATTTCCATTTTTGGGAGCATCCCCAGGTTCCAGTTTCAGAATTACTCTGGAATCTTCGGGAATAAAGTGAAAAAAACACCGAAATCCTTCCACAGCAATTGTAGCTTTGCTGCTGATTTTTTCCATGATTTTCCAGAGTTTTCCTCTGCTGGAAAATAAAAGGAAATCTCTTTTTCCCCGATGTGTTGCAACAACCGAGCTGGAAAAGGGCAATTCTCTTGGGATTCCTGGCATGGAATCCGGATGCTCATGTCTTGCCTGTTCACAGCTCCTGTCGCTGCCGACTTTTCCTTGGATTGGGAAAAGATTGTGCTTTCCCTGGCAGCCTGTGGAAGTGTTGGGATCTGCAAGGACACGAGTTGGCCGTAAAAGCAATTTATCCTCTGGAAGTAGCACTGCCAGGGATCCAGGGGCAGCCACAGCTGCTCTGGCAATTCCAGCCCAGCCAGCAATTCCCAATTCCCAATATCCCACCCAAATCTCCCCTCTTCCAGTTTGAAGCCATTCCCTGTGTCCTGTCCCTCCATCCCCAGTTCCCAGTCCCTCTCCAGCTCCCCTGGAGAACTGGGGCTTGGAGCTCCCTGGCACAGTGGGAGGTGTCCCTGGCTTGGAATGGGATGGGATTGGAAGTCCCTTCCCACCCAAACCATTCTGTGATTCTGTGATTATCAAAATAATAAAACCATCAGAAAAAGAAAATAAAAAATGGAAATATGAACTCATTTCTCTTCCCAGATCCATCACAGGCAGCTTCAAATTCCACAGGTCAGAAATCCCTGGGAATGTTCAAGGCTTGGAAAAACCTGGGATAGTGAGAGGTGTCCCTGCCCATGGCAGGGGCTGGAATGGGATCTTTAAACTCCTCCCAACCCAAACCATTCCATGATTCCATGAGGGAACTCCTCAGGGACTCCAGGATGAAATGTTTATTCCCGTGAGCTGTTGAGTTTCTTGGGAATTTCCCTGAATCATCCAAGGTGAAATCCCAGAGCCTCCCGCTCAAATCCTGTGGTTTGGTGCCGAGTCTGTGCCCATTTTTCAGACCTAAAGTAATTCTGGTTTTTGGTGCCAAGTTTTAAACTCTGCCCGTTTTCCAGACCTAAAGTAATCCTGGTTTTTGGTGCCGAGTTTTAGACTCTGCCCATTTTCCAGACCTAAAGTAATCCTGGTTTTTGGTGCTTGCTCAGATCAGGTGGACCAAAACAGCAGGAAGTGCCTCTGACAGATTCCAAGATTCCAGTGTCTTCAACGAAACCCTGAGGATTTCCAACATCCAGAGACACCAGGGAGGCCGCTACTACTGCAAGGCCGAGAACGGCCTGGGCTCCCCGGCCATCAAATCCATCCGAGTGGACGTGTACTGTGAGTAAATCCTTGGAATTCTGCCTTTGGTCCTTTAGGAATGCCTTGAAATATCTGTTGTTCCTGAGAAACGTTCGGCTCCTTGTGCATCCCAATTTTAATGGCGGGTGCTGCGGGTTTGTGGAGTTTTTATGGTTGGGAGAATGGGAAGGGTTGGGATTGCAGGGGAAAATGTGGGGGATTGGGATTGGAGTGAAAAATGTGGAGGATTTGGATTGTGGTGATGAATCTGATGGATTGGGATTGCAAGGAAGATGTGAAGGTTTGGGATTGGAGTGAAAAATATGGATTGGGATTGTGGTGAAGAATAAGGACGACTGGGATGTGAGTGAAAATATGGATTGGGATTACAATGAAAAATATGGGGGATTGGGATTTCAGGGAAGATGTGAAGGATTGGGATTGCAGTGAAAAAATGGGGAGGATTTGGATTTCAGTGAAAAATGGGAAAGGTTGGGATTGTGGCAAAAATACGAAGGATTGGGATTGCTATGCAAAATGTTTAATTGCTATGAAGATGTGAAGGATGGGGATTGCAAGGAAAAATGTGAAGCATTGGGTGTGTAAAGAAGAATGTGAAGGATTTGGATTGCAGTGAAAAATACAAAGGATTTGGATTGCAGGGAAAATGCGAAAGGTTGGGATTGTGGTGAAAAATAAGAAATATTTGTATTTCAGTGAAAAAAAGTGGAGGATTGAGTTTGCAAGGAAAAGTAGGAAAGATTTGGATTGCAGCAAGAAATACAAAGGATTGGGATTGTTTCAGGCCCTGGAGGGGGCTCTCAGCTCTCTCTGGATCCTTCTCTTCTCCAGGGGAACATTCCCAGCTCTCCCAGCCCGCCTCCAGAGCAGAGCTGCTCCCTCCTTTGGATCAGCCTCCTCTGAACTCCAGAGTGCAAAATTTGCTTTGATTGCACTCCCAGAATCATGGAATGGTTTGGGATGGAGTGGGATCTTAAATCCCATCCCATTCCATGGGCAGGGACACCTCCCACTGTCCCAGGCTGCTCCAGCCCCAATGTCCAGCCTGGCCTTGGCCACTGCCAGGGATCCAGGGGCAGCCACAGCTGCTCTGGCAATTCCAGCCCAGCCAGCAATTCCCAATTCCCAATATCCCATCTGAATCTCCCTTTAATCCATTGCCCTGCATCCTGTCTCTCCCTGCCCTCATAAGTTTCCCCCTCCTCTCCTTGATTTCCTTGGATAATTCCTTTCGGAAAGCCTTTTTCCTTCCGTGGAGAAGGAATGAACAGTTCCAAATCCACCAGGGATGATTCCTTTAGGAGACAAATCTCTGTCGTTTTTTCCTGTTAAAGCGAGCAGGTGTTGTCTCTCCCAGCTCTGGCTGAAAATTCCCATTTCTCACCTCAAGTTCCTCCAAAAGCCCTCAGTTCCCTTGGAAATGAATTCCCAGGAGGGAGAGCTCCATTCTTCTGGAGCCACCAGGAGAAGAAACTGCCTCAGAAATCCGAGCTCAGTTCATGCCAGGCTTGAACTCCGCTTCTTTTTCCTTGGGAAGTCGCTCTTCAAAGTTCATCTCATCTTTGGCTTTGAAGGAAAAGCTTTTATACTTCGACTCCCAGAAAAGTTTTTTACTTGGAGGACACTTCCTCCTTTTTTAGGGAAGGGAAAGATGGAATAAATGGAGTATTTTCATTTTAAGAAGCAGACTTCTGACAAGAAAACTCTTCTGCTCTTTCCCAAAGGACAAATTTTCCAAATTTCCCAGTTTTTAGCAAAGAAAAAGTCCTGATGCCTTCATGGAAAATGTGGTTTTGTGTTCCTCTTGGTTCACAGATTTCTGTGGATACAAGCCTGGAAAAAGGTGGAGCAAAAGGTCAGGTGAAGGTTTAAAGATTCCTGAGAATAATGTGGAAGGAAAAGGTGGAAAAAAGTTTTATCTTTATTTATTTCAGGGTGGAAAAAAGGCTTTTTCCAAGAAATGTAGTGCAGGGAAAGATTTAGGAATTAACTCGTAGTGGAAGGGACACATCCATCATGAGGGATGGGAAAATCTGGAATTGCAGGATGGAGAGGTTGAGCTGGGGTCCAGGAAGAACAATTCCTTGTGCTCCTGGATCCACTGAAATCCTTGCTGGCAGCTCTAATTCCAGTTCTTGGCTGGGAGGAAGGTGAGGAGTTGGGATGGAAACATGGGAATGGTGCCGGTCAGCAGGAATGAGAGTGGTGGAAGCAGACAGAAAACTGGGAATAATGGGAATGGCGAAGGGTAGCAAGAATGGGAGTGACCTCTCACCCCCACCTTGCTGGTTCTGGGTGTCCAAACCCAAAACCCTTTGAGTCACCCACTAAAATTAATGATTAACTCATCCTGATTATCCCATCCCGATTAATCCCAACCCTGCTGGGGAAAATTCCAAGTATAAATTAACCACAACTGGCGGAATGGAAATGCACAATTCCCATTAGGAATTATTCCTGTTTCCATGTTGAGCTGATGTTGACAATGTTTAATTCACCCTGAGGAGCTGTTGAGGAAATTCCTTGCAGAATTTGCTCCTCAGGATTCTCCTGATCTCGGGAATTTTTAACTCGGGAATAACGCTCGCAGTTAATTACAGAGCTTTAATTCCATAGCATTACCTGGCTGTGGGTGCAGATTTCCTTTTCCTCCTGGAACAAACTCCAGGAAAAGTTCCACGAGGTTATTTGAATGCCTTTTATGCCGTTCCTTTCCTAAATTAAAGCTGCGGTTAGATCAGCCTGAGACGAGCTGGTGTCAGATGAAATTCAGGATAATTGATGCCGTAAATATCCCTGGAGTTCAAAGACAGCTCCTTTCCATGGCTCCAAAATTCCCTCTGTTTACAGGAATCTATAAACAGGCCCAGGAAACAGCTTGGGTTATAGAAAGAGCTGAGTTTAGGGCTTAAATTCGCTGTTCCTGACTGGAATACTCTGTTCCTGCTGATCCATGGAATATTTCCTGTGCAGGGTTTTTTTTTGGAGGAGCTTCTCGTGGAGGTGAGAAGGGTTTGTTGTGGGTGGGCTCACTGGAAATGCAGAATTACTGGAAAATAATGGTTGGAAAAACTCCAAGACCATCGACTCTTGGATGCCCCCACAAGTGTTAAATCGTGTTTTGAGGTGTCCCCTTGTGAACGTTCCCAGGGATGGGGACCATCCACCATTCCGTAGGGAGTCTTTTCCAATGTCTGGCCATTCCTTCAGGGAAGAGATTTTGCTCTTTGACTCCTCTGCATTTGATAAAACCACGGAATGTTTTAGGCTGGATTTTAAATCCCATCCAGTGCCGTGGGCAGGGACTCCTTCCACTATCCCAGGCTGCTCCAACCTGGCCTTGGACACTTCCATGGATTCATGGGCAGCCAAAGCTTCTCTGGGAATTCCATTCCAATCCCTCCCCGCTCTCACAGTGAAGAATTTCAAGGTCCTCCACGTGCATGGCTGTACATTGTTCTGGACAATTAGAGTATCCCAATTAACAAAATGCAGATTTTGATGGATTTTTCCTCATCCTCCATTTCCATCTCCATCCTTCTCCGTAGGGCTCTGTAATTCCAGGCTCAGGAGAGCATCCATGGATATCCAGGCGTAGCCAACCTGAGCCTTGCTCCAGTGCCCATGTTTTCCCCACACCAGTTTTAACGAAGCGCTGGGGGTTAATTATCTTTGGGATCTTGATCCCAGTTTGAAATCCAGCTGAAACGACCTCACAAACCTGGTAGAACTTGGGAAAGGAATTTTTGGCAGATGGGCAGGCAAATGCGATTATCCAAGGAGGAAAACCTTGGCTGCTCCTTGGAACTCAGCTCCTTTTCCATCTCCTACCATTTTGGATTTGTGCTGCTGGAGCAGGATTGAGGAGCAACATCCCCATGGATGGGGTTTAGATGATCTCCTGAGGGTCTTTTCCAAGCTGGATGGGATTTTAACTCCGGGAATAGGCTGGGAATTCCATCCAGTCAGCAGAAGGACTTCGTTTGTCTGGAAGTCCTTTTAGGCCTAGCTCTAAATGTTCCAGGCAGGTCGATTTTCCTCTTTGATTTATCATCTTCATTTCCCCCCCAGGAGTTCCTTCCGTCCACAGCCTCCCTTTCTCCTCACTCTTATTTATGGCCTCTAGTCCTGGTTTTCCTCTGGTTTCCCTCCCATAAAATATCTTTTAGGGGGAAAAAAATTCTGTATTTTATATTCTGCTGGAGTCGGACTGGGGGGAAAAGGGGTTTTTTAGAGCAGGGATTGCAGGGCAGCACTGGAGAAGTTCCTGCTCTGACATTTTTAATGGGAAAGAGTTTAAGGCTGGAAAAGAAATGGGAGCCTTGGAAGAGAAATGGGATAGGAGGGAGGAAACCTGGCACTTGTTGTTATTGTGGAATCAAGGAATGTTTTGGGATGGAAGGGACCTTAAATCCCATCCAGCCCCTGCAGGGACCCCTCCCACTATTCCAGGCTGATCCAACCTGGCCTTGGGCACTGCCAGGGATCCAGGGACAGCCACAACAAATCTGGCAATTCCAGCCCAGCCAGCAATTCCCAATTCCCAGTATCCCACCCAAATCTCCCCTTTTCCAACTAAAGCCATTCCCTGTGTCCTGTCCCTCCATCCCTTGTCCCCAGTCCCTCCCCAGCTCTCCTGGAACACCTTCAGGCCCTGCAAGGGGCTCTGAGCTCTCCCTAGAGCCTTTTCCATGTAAACATTCCCAGTTTTCCCAAGCTTTCCTCGCAGGAGAAATACTCCAACCCTCGGATCACCTCCACCACCCGCTCCGCACTCCCTTGTTTATTACAAATGAAGAAACAATCAACTATTTCCCTTTTTTTCTCCATTCAAATATTTTTTATTTTCCTTTTAGACCATTTAAAATCCAAACTAAGGCAACGAGAGAGCAGTGGGGTCTCACCAGGAGCCCCTCCTCATTATTTACACTCAATTAATTCCAAATTTCAATTTTAACAGGGATTTAAACCTTTTAAGGAGCCTCTGGAAAAATTTCACTGAGTGGAGATGGATGTGCTCTAAAAC